TATATATATATATATATATATATATATATATATAAATTCCAAGAAATCTAAATTAAAAAAAAATTCAATTGTTATGAAAAAAAGAAAGCAAAGATAGTTAGTAATCAATTAAAAATAGAAGTGATTTGTATATAAACGGTTTTTTCGTACATAACAATTTATGTTTTAAAAAGTTTTATAATAGGAGTTGTGAGACCCATATAACACATAGGTTAATTTAAAAAAAATTAAATATAAAAGTAAAAATATTTGAGAACTTTGAATTTATAATAAAATAAGAAAAATACTGAATTATTATTATTGAAAATTTTTATCTTTTAAGTTTAGATAAATAATTTAAATAAATAAACAAAAGAAACTAATGATCTTTAATTTGGGAATTTTGAAATTAAAAGGTAATTTATTAATGAAATTGATATCTATTTATTACTACAGTAATTATTAAATTAAAATATTATATGGAATTTAATAAAACAGAAAAGCTGATAAAATGACATGTGAAAAAAAAATCAAAATAACCAGAAAATGATATTTGACAAATTGAATAAGAGTGTGACATGTGATAAAAAAAACCTTAAGTTATTAGAGTAGGTATTTCAAAAACAAAAATTATTATATATAGAAAAAATAAAAATCAGCTCCCGACCCTAATTAAAAAACACTAACATTTACGTTACTTCTTTCAACGTTAACATACTTTTTAGATAAAATATATTACATATATACAGAAGAGTGCTACTACCAGATATAAAATCGGGCCCCAAAATGCTACGGGACTCAGGCCATCAACCAATTTTTACATCTATTGGGCCGGAGCTACATTTTGTGATGAAAACATCTTCACATGTTTTTTTTAACGTCGACATGAATTTTTGATGAATCATTTTCGAAAGATATTTGCATTTTGTAGGGACCTAGTTTCTCGTAAAGTAATTATGAAACGACAAAAGTTTCCCTTTTTTGTAGCTTCGAGAAAAATAAACAATGGCATTTGTAGCCACAAGTTATTTGTTTTGTAAAATGAAACAATTTTCAAACAAGGGCATTTATCAAAACGAGTATTTTTTTTTTTTGATTTTTTTAATAAATAATCATATTTTTGTTACACAAAAAGTTATTATTATTAAAAAAATTCAAAATCTGATTTTTTTTAATGTTACAACTCTAAAAGGTCTTTTCACAAGTTATCAATTGTTAGAAATTTGGGTATAGAAAGACTTGAAAATTCCGAGAATTGTGATCATCAGTTTCAAATCGAAGTATTTGGGTGGTACTCCCAAATCCTCAATTGGATAAGACTCGGAGAGACAAGAACAAAAAATGTTTGATGATATTTTCGTATGTATCAGAAATGAGACCAAAACCAACTTTAAGATCTTTGTCTGAAAACTGTCATATGATAGTTTTAAACTATCATAAAACTATAAAAACTATCATAAAAACAGATATATGGATAAGGGTCAAACCAATGGTCAATTATCTGAAAAACCAACCAGAGGCTCTGCCCCTTGGACTCCGCTCTCAAGGGCGCTGCCCCGGGACTCGCGTTCGTTCAGGGGCTTCGCTCCTAAATAACATATGTACTTTGAAACTTGATCAAACTTAAACAAGTGTGTACTGCACACCTTCCTTACTTGTTTAATATTTATCAAAATCACTTTTGGTCAACAAAGTAATCTCATTACACTTAAATAACATTGATGACAACAAATCACCAACATCAATTGTTTATTTGTGGCTAAAACACCGGGGCAAAAGAAGTATTTGTAACTGGGTCGAGTGGAAACACTCGCCTTTCTTTTTCATGTAATTGTCTATGTTGTACTTTCTATTTCCCCGTTTTTAGCTTCTTGCTATGCGGGTTACTTTAATATAATGGTTGTTTCCAAAAAAAATAATCAAATTTTTATTTTTATCATTACTTTAAATACATTTCCCTTTATGAAATGAACAAGGAGACGTCATTTTTTTTTACCTCTACGAGGAGACATCTTTTTTATTTTTATTATCACTATAAATACATTTTAAAGTGATTTTTCAAGTCTTCTAGGGAAAAAAACGTATAGGCGTTTTGATGTTTGTGGTTTCTAATAAACAAACAGGTTTCAAGCAAAATATATGACTACCCGCGGACAAAGACGCCAAAAAAAAAAGTTTTTGACAAAAACAAACACTAATTAGTTGCAAATTTAATAGCATACATCATAAAGGTCAAAAATAACAATATTTATAACTCGAGCGAGCATTATGATTTATGACGACGATGGTTCGAATTTCTAAACGTTGAGGGTCCCGATTGTACTTTGTAGAAAATAGTCAAAATACCGAATGCCACAAAAATTTCTGTGGCCACAAAAGCAAAAAATGCTTCATGTACAATTTTATTATAATCTAAACCACAACTCAAAATATGTTTTATAATTATTTGTACATCAAACAACAAAATTTACTATCTTCGCTATTGCCCCATAATCTTCAAATGCTCTTTCAACAAGTTTACATCGTCGAAGTTCAGGAAAGAACAACCAATAAGATGTCACCAACACGAATGCAACCACCAATGGGGCGGTTATGTGGCGGGGTAAACTCCATTTAACATTAACAAATTTCTTGATTGTTGTCTCCATAACCAACGAGACTCCATGTAGACAAAAGAAAAGCATGGTATCCCACGTTGGCCAATCTCGTGTGAAATAAAAGAAAATAAGTTCATGCATAAGACCCGAGACTGCGAATGTTGTCAATATTGCTGGTATTGGGGCCCACATATGACCGATGGCCCGAGCTGACATTATACGGACCGGATTGTAAATGGTTGGATGGAGAATTCGGTTGACCATGACATTCCACCTCCTGCCCCAAAAATCTTGGAGGGAAGTGGACAGATAAGGTTCATCGAACTGAGGGTCAAGTCTGACCCCTAGTAAGAATTCCATTACTATGGAACTGATAGTCATTAGGAGGTCTAAAAAGAAGTAGACTGAGAACGCAAAGAAGATCCAAGCGATCATGGGGTTCATATGATCACCATGATCATGATAAACCTTGAGGAAAGTCGCAAGAAGGAGAGCTTTAATTCCATAGTTAAAAGGAGATCTATGGGTTGGGTTTTTCCCTGGAATGCTCTTTCCAATGGGAAAACAAGCGAGGGAAAGGAATCGGAAGAGGGGAATAGAAGGGGAGGAAAGGGGTCCTGTTTCAAAGGCGAAAAGAATGAGTTTGAAATTAGCAAGCCAAGAGATGCATAAAGAAAGTGCCCCTATGAGATGAACAGAATTAAACAAGAGTGGAATGGAAAGAAAAAATAGAATGACAGGAAAGATTGTTAAGAGTCTTGGAAAACCTTTTGGAATGATTTTCCCCACAGAGTAGCAATAACCAAGAGAAATTGATGCTAAAAGAGACACCTTCACAAGATTCTTGATATCTTCTTGGAATTCCATGGTGGTAGTTCTTGAATTGAAGTTTGAGGTTGGTGAGAAATGGGTAGATATGTCATAACACTTGGTCAAATTTAGTTGTTATATCCTACATATAAGATAATAAATTTTGATATGGAATATATATATAT